TAAACGATTACAATGAGATCCTAAAAAGAGAAGAAGACTTATGGAAACTTAAATCTAAAGTCTTTATGGCTAAATGAAGGGGATGCGAATACTAAATTTTTTCACGTTTCGATAACTAATAGAAGAAGGAAAAATAATATCCTGGGACTAAATGATGTGGTAGGAAATTGGACGTATGATCCAAACATCATCAACAATGCTATAACCCAATACTTCAAAAATATTTACACCACGGTATTGGATAGGAGCTATTGGTCTACCCCTACTACATGCAGAAACGCGCTATCTATAGAAGATAAGGTTAATAGGGAGACCCCTCGAAAAAGACGAAATTAAAAACACCATCTTTTCTTTCAAACCTCTTAAATCTCCTGGTCCAGATGGACTGCACCATCTATTCTTTCAAAAATATTGGGAGGAAACGAAAGAATATGTGGTTAATACGTGCATGAAATTTTTTCGAACACACTGTGTTCCCAGTGAACTTAAAAAAACTTTTATATGCCTTATTCCAAAAATAAAAAATTCAGAACAAATTAATCACTATAGACCTATTAGTCTTTGTAACACTATATACAAAACTATCACAAAAATCATAGTTAATAGAATCTGACCTTATCTAGATAATATCATAAGCCCCCACCAGTGTAGCTTTATTCCTAGAAGACGTTCGGTGGATAACGCTATAATTGTCCAAGAAGCCATTCACTCTTTTCAAAAGACTAAAGGCAAATTTGGTAAAATGCTTTTAAAAATCGACCTTGAAAAAGCATTTGATAGACTAGAATGGTCGTTCATAAAGCAATCTTTAATGATCTTGAATTTTTCAAATAACATTATTATGTCTTGCATATCCACCTCTTCCATCTTTATACTAGTAAACGGGAGACCTACAAACAACTTCCTTCTGACTAGGGGTATTAGGCACGGAGACCCTTTTATCACCATATATTTTCATCATTTGTATGGAATTCCTTTCTAGACTTATTAGTTACGCCACTCAGGAGCGCCTTTGGCAACCTCTAAAAATTGATAAAATAGGCCCAACCATCTTGCAGATCTTATTCGTAGATGACATTATCCTTATGGCAAAGGCGGATATTACTAACGCCTCCACGATCATTCACATCTTCAATATCCTCTCTTTACAATCAGGGCAAAAAATAAACTTTCAAAAATCTACTTTATACTTTTCCTCAAATGTAAACGTCAAGGAAAGAGATGAACTATCCTCCCTTTGTGAATATTCGCCAAACAAATAAGATAGGAAAGTATTAGGGTTTCCGATCACAAACCACCACCCTAAAAGTTCCGACTACCAATATATTATAGACCATATGAATAATAAATTAAGCGGTTTTTCTTAAACATAGCAGGTAGGACTACCTTAATTAAATCGGTTCTTTCCACCATTCCTACGTACGTAATGCAATGTAATCTCCTTCCGCAATCAACCCTTAATCATATAGATCACATTCAAAGAAACTTCTTGTGGGGTTCATCGCTAGAAAAAAAGAAGACTTCACATTGCTAATTGGGATTTGGTGACTACCCCTACTGATAAAGGGGGGGCTAGGACTTCAAAAAACTAACGGAAAAAATTTCGCCCTTTTGACAAGTTTAAATTGGAGGTTTCTTACAAAAAAGGGTCAACTATGGAATAAAGTACTTTCAACAAAATATAAGAATAGATGCCTAACATCCAAAATTCACTGCTATCTATATTTGGAAAAGCATTGCTAAAATGTCTCAACTTTTCTAGGAAGGAGTTTCTTGGACTATAGGAAATGAGAATAAAATATTGATTCGGGAGGGTAAATGGATCGAAGGAGCCTGCACCTTTCGACAAATCGCACAAGGACCTATAAATAAATCAGATGGAAATCTCCGAGTAAATCATTTACTAAAAAATAATACATGGGATTTTTTACAAATATTTCTTTCGAAATCCCTGACAATATAAGAAAATGTATTATAAATGCTTACACTCAACAATCAACTAACACAAATGATGACACGACTTTCTACTGGAACAAAAATAGTGATGGAAATTTTAGCACGAGAAGCGCCTACGAAATATTCCTAACATCACAACCACAAGCTTCAATCATGATTGGGTTTGGAAGATTAAATCAGTAAACAAACTAAAATTCTTCTTGTGGACTATACTCTCAAATAAGCTCCCGACTCTTCGACATTATATTATAGGAATATTATCACTTCTAAGAATTGCCGCTCCTGTCCAAAGGACACTAAACATATTTTTTTCAATTTGCCCTGATGCACAATTCATATGGAAAAAATTCAACATATCAATCAACAACTCAGATTTTCACGAGAATATCCATCAATTGTGTACCTCCATAAAATATAGTACCCTAAACAACCACCACAAGGTGCCTATAACAATTCTCGCACCAGTCATTCTTTGGAATATCTGGAAAATTAGAAACACTAAGCTCTATAAAAACCAAAACATCAGTAGGTAACTAGGTATCCCGGTACCACCTATAATATTAATTTTCAAGCACTGAAATATTACCACCTAGCATATACCCCCCCTCCCCTCAAAAATAATTCTGAGACATATGGTTCCAGTGGCTTGGCATAGACCCCCAGAAGGAGTATCAAAACAAAACATTGATGGCCCATTTGAACAAAACACTACTAATGGAGGCAGGGGGGGGGGGGTGTAATAAGAGATCATTTTGGAAAATGGATTACAGTTTTACATGCAAAATCAAAGTCCAAAATGCACACCATGCAGAAATACTAGCGCTACTAAATGGCCTGAATCTGGCCAAAAGATTAAATGTATTATTAAATAATCTAAATAATAACTCTCGTGTATACTCACATATATATGCAGATTGTAGAGCAATCCTAAAGTAGATGGAGAGAACAACAAGGGAAGCTAATACAATAGCGGACCTACTTGCAGTACACGAAAGGAAAACTAAGGATCCCAATATATGTAGGGGACAACTCTATGTTTTTGACGCATCTCCTTCATTCGTATCATCCAGATGCCATGGGAACTATATCGTTTAGATTAGTTCCTCTTTTGTATGTATAAACCTACTATGATTATTAATAAATGAATCCTTTCGTTCTTAAGCAAAAAAAAAATGAACACCTTTCTTTCTAAAGAAAAAAAAAAAAAAAAAAAATTAACAAAAGGCCATCGAAATCTCACTTTTTTTTTGTATTTTTTTCATACTGTATGTCAATTAAGAAGTCTGTCAGAAAGCTAAGAGACCACCCCAAACCCACTAGAGGCCTGAGAACGATCATCTACTGCGTCACACCAAAGCTGTTAGTCACGCTCTAGCCTCATGGCCAAATTTCATCCACCAAGCTTGGTTTCCTGTCTCCTTAGAAATCAAGGATACAATGGTACGAGCCTATAGAACAGATCTTGTTCAAGTAAGGTCATTTTTTTCCCCTCCCTAGGAGCTCCCACCCCTTTTGCTCTCTTGGTGATTCGAACTCGCAACCTCCAGGTTGGAAGTGTGGGGTGCTTACCATCCAAGCAACTCCTTCTTATTAAAAGCTTCTTTCATAAAAATAAAACAACAGAAAACATAATTCCTATCCACTAAATACCAAATGTAAAAAAAATAAAAATAGGGAAATTCTCTCTCTAGGAAAAACTCATCCTAGAAATCTGACCATGACTCTTTACCCCGTCACAAGTATCACACCTACATCCACATCAGAATGGCTTGATAAAAGAACAGAACGAAGGAGGATCTACCATCTAAACATTTCTTCATTGAACTCCTAATGGATAAACAACTAGAAATAAACATCTACTCATTTCTGATGGAAGAGATAGAGACAGAGAAGGATAACGAAATAGAAAATGAAATCAACCTCACTGAGGAAGAGAAGAGAAAATTTATCTCCCCATAAAAAACTCAGTAATAATCAAACCAATGGGAAAAAGAATATCACATCATGGTTTCTCAAAATTAAAGTGACGGAACTCTGGAAACCTATAGAAGTGTTTACCCTAATTGATCTAGGATGGGGATTCCACATAGCAAAGTTCACTCTCCAATTAGAGATCATGGAAAAATCACTCCAAGGTGGTCCATGGTTCAAAATCGACAATTTCCTTTTCGTAAAATTATGGGAACCCAATTTCTCCCCTTAAGAATTAAGTATAACTCACAGTGGAATATGGATTAGACTTCCATAAATCCCAATTGAATTTTATGACAAAAACATCCTAAAAAGGTGGGAAGTAAAATGGGAGCAATCCTAAAAATAGCCATGTGTACCTCAATAATTTTAAGAGGGTGGTATGCAAGGATATGCATACAAGTTACGATAGGCATTGAGAGAAGTGATAATGCTGTGGTGGAGGACTGATACAAGGAAGAATATAAAAGCAGTTTATAAAGCAATACCTAGCTTTGTAATATGGGAACTATGGAGGAAAAGGAATAGAATGAAGCATGAAGGAAAGAAAACAACAGTAGCTAGAATCATCCACAATGTTTCTAGGAATATATACATGCTGATAAAAATGAGAAAACCTAGCATGAATTTTCCTATTAACTGGCCTAATATGGTGGAGCACTTGCAGCACTACAGTCCTAGAATGAAGGTCAAGAAGATACTATGGGAATTTCCACCCAAAGATTGGGTAAAGTATAATACAGATGGAGCATCAAGGGGAAATCCGGGAATCAGTTCATATGCATTTTGTGTACGGAATGAACAAGGAGATATTGAATATGCAGAAGGGGCATGCATAGAGGATACCACTAACACAGTTGCAGAAGCAAAGGCTATACTAGAGGCAAGCAAACATAGCAAACAGACACAAAACAATCGAATCATCATTCAGACAGATTCAATGCTATTATATAAAGTGATAGAGGGTGAATGGGCATGTCCATGGTTAATTGCAGACATGGTATCAGACAGCAAAGCATGCTTACAAGGTAAACAAGTCATTTTTCAGTATATTCTAAGAGAGGGCAAACAAATTAGCAGTGATCACTGTGCAAACAGAGCAATAGATAAAGGAAATTTCTCTTTTACAGACTTTAATAGCATGGAGATAGAAGGGAGAAAGATAGTTAACAATGACTAGCTACTATGTTCATATTTAAGAGTATCACCGCTAAAGGGATAGGGGCAACCAAGGCTACAACATGAATTTTTCACGAAACATAATATTTACAAAAGCCTTAAAGGCAGCAAAAAGTGAAATGTTAGCTAGATACTACAGTAGCCAGCAAAAAGGTCTCGAAAGGGAGGATCTGGAGGCAAGATGGAACAATTTAACCTGGAGGAGTCTGTGTCATCATCAACGAAAGGTGGAAGGGCAGAGCTCCATGCACTCTGTCACAAACCAACTACAGGAAAACACAAAAACTCAGCTGGAAAATAAGGAGATCATCAGTAGCAAAAAAGGAAATAAGAAATAAAAATCTTAATTACTTACTCTTGTTTGTTGAAACAGCAGTCAAGGAGGCCAATAACATCACATTGATTATCCAAAGCAAGAGAAGATGGAGACAATGAAGAGTGAAGATAGAGACAGAGGAGCGGAAAAAGGGGAAATGAAAATGAAAGGGGAACGATTAGGAAACCCTACATACAAGGATATATATGTCGATCTAGAAATGAGAATAGGCCAGTAATTTATGTTTAGTTATTTACTTTTTAGTATTGGGTTAGTGGTGGGTTGGGTCATGCCCGCGGAAGTGTATGGAGGTGTAATTGCTAATTCATTTCAGTATTAATAAAAGCCCATATTTTACTTTAAAAAAAAAAAGATAGGCATACTAATCAGGGAGAAAATTCAAATAGGAAATCACTTCTAAGAAGTTATCTACAATGGTGAAGGGACATGGTGTACGGGGTGCAGAAGAATTGACCATACGAATAGATAATGCTCCTTTATCACAAAACACATCCATCACCATACAAGTCCAGAAAAAGAAAGCGATATATATACCAATAAAACAAGACAAAGAACAATGGCAAACAGTCCCAGAACAACACAACACTAGCTAGACCATAAAAATAAAGACACGACAACGATATAGTTAAAAGCTTTTGACGCAAAAAAAGGTAAATTTTAACCATCACTCAACAACACTTTTCCATTAGTTCTTACAACCGTAACAATCACCTATTAAATCTCATGATGGACATAGAAAAATGGAAGATGGAACTGTGGAATGAAGGAAGCTGGATGGACGACACACTACCCAGACGAGCATTAATGAACCTGAGAGGAAATCCATGCGAGGATCTCATCCCATTAATGTAGATGGCCCCCACATTGGAAACACGCGCTGAAGATTACTGCACCAAAATCCAAAGCAAAAGGAACTTCAACTCTCGTTCAATGAAGTGGGTTTTTTGAGTCAAAGCACCTCTAGGGGAACTCCAAACTCCAACCACGACTCTACAACTCTCTTTGTGGAGAAACGAACCGCCACATCTCAAATTGTAAAACCCTCTTTCCAATACGAAAAATAATCATCACTAAGCCAGGAAAGATGTGAAAATGGTCATTGCATCAATTAACTACACTGCCAACCTGGAGTCCCAATTAAGAATACCCCCAAGAAATAGACATCCAGAACACTCGCATAAATGGAAAGCAACATCCCCTACTTCCAACCAGCACCAACACCAATGTTCTTTGTCACAACACCTCTCTCGGAGGATCACATTCCAGAGTCATGGCTAGAATTGGCCTTCCATGGAGAATAACTAATGCAGAACTTTGACTTATGGACACAGCCAATGTCGATCTTAATTGAAAATCCACACTTCCTAGCACAATTCATAAGAGAATGGATGAACTTAGCCACCTTGGGTTTTAGCCAACAACTCTAGATGCAAACACTGCTCTAAGCTCACCTATACGGCGACTTGACACGAATGTCCAGCCAAGTGCTAAGCTCTCTCATGTCGTAGGTCCATCGATATATATCTTTCTTATCAGAACCTCTTCAAGACCCTACAACCAGTGGCGGAGCCACCTTATAATTAGGGGGTTAAAATAATTTTTTAGGTATATATAGTAGATGTCGAATCCCCTTCGACTACTTCGTGTGTCTAATTTTTTTAATTTTAAACCCCTTTTTGAAAATCTTGGCTCTGTCACTGCCTACAACTGTTACCCCCAAGTTCATGCCATGGTTACTAATAAGGCAGGAAACCTATGAGAGGTAACTCTTTTAGTTCTAGACACATTAAGGTAGAGCAACAAAGAGTTAGAAGAGTTGCTACAAGCGCTAGAAGAGCAGAATACAGAGGTCGATCAACTGGAAAAGCTAGTCACAAAAGAATTCTAAGAGAAAATCTAGAGAAGCTATTTGAGTAGGCTGTAGTGAGCAGGATCAGTCTGAGTATGAGAAATCAGATGAGCAACCTACTGCTAGCAATAACTCTGAACCCCTTAAAGGATTTAATGAACCTAACACAGATGGAGAAATGAAAGGGAAAATCAGAGAATTTAATGATACGTGAGAGTCCAATTAACTTCATAACCTGGAATACTAGAGGGGCAAACAACAACTTATTCAGAAGACAATGCCAAGCCCTAGTCAAGATGCACAAACTTGGGTTTTGACGCTCAAATTCACTCTGCAGCAGAAGGGGTTTCAAGTGGCATTGTTATCATCTGGAAATAGGACTCTCTCAAATTGGACAATATATTTGTTACTCCTCAGGAGGTTCATGTCATGATCAAGGTAAATACTTTTCCCAACTCATGACTTTTTCTGCTATCTATGCTAACACTATTTATAATAATAATAAAACTATTATATGGGATGGTCTCTGTAGGATTTCCCAAAATTATTCTGCAAACTGGTTAATGGGAGAAGACTTCAATGAGGTCCTTATAGATAAGGACAAATTCGGAGGGATGAGCATAAACAACAAAGACTAACTCCCTTTAGAACTGCCTAAATCATTAATGTAATATGATAGTTCTAGGATTTAAAGGCAGTACATACACTTGGACCAACAGGAGATATACAAATCCAAAAGAAGCCTTATCCTTGAAAGGCTATAGGAGTATGGCCAATGCCATTTTGATCCTTTAATACCCCGAGTTCCGTATCGCCCACCTATCTCACACCCACTTCAATCATTCCCCCGTTTTGGTCAAGTTTAGTAAAGATAGGTTGAAGTATGACAACATGCCATTTAGGTCTGAGCCTACGTGGTGCAAACCTCCCACTGTCCCTGGGCTTGTCCAAAATTCTTTTTGCCTCACTGTTGGTTTTTTAATATAAAGAAAATAACAGAGAAAGACTCTGAGAGAAAAAATACTGCAATATTATCAAAGAGAATTATTTTATTAATAATTCAGAGACTTACATTTATAGATATAATTTCTAACTAAAAATAGAAAAATACGTTACTAACTTATCAGTTTAATTCAAATAACAAATAAAAAGAACTAACTCCTAAATTCAAGTCAAATAGGACTCTAATTACATAATTTGAAAATCCTAAAAATAGCTAATTGTTTTATTTCTGCAATATCCTGAGACATATTCTCAACACTCCTTCTTGGATCAGGAATTGTAGATTGTAGTCTCATCTGAAATTGACCTTGTGAACAAATCTGCTAATTCATCCTTGTCTTGCAAGGCTTGTGTGCATCTTCTGTTGGATTAAATGAGAAGCTCTGACCTCTCATTTCAACTTGTAAAATCTCTTGCTTAGTAGAATCAAAGATTCGACAATATTTGTCTCCAAAAAATAATTTAAATCCTTTTTCTATTAACTGACCAACACTAAACAAGCTTTTATCAATATCAGGCACATAAAGAACATTTGAAATTATTTTTGTACCTGAATTTGTTTTAATTGAAACAGACCATTTTCCTTTTGCAGGAATACAATCACCATTCCTAATTCTGATTTTCTTATTTTCCATAGGAATGAACTCTTTAAAAAGATTTCTTTCATATGTCATGTGGTTTGTACAACCACTATCAATCATCCAAAAATCAGATTTTTTTGGTTGAAAAACAAGTTGCCACAAATAAGTGGTCTTCTTCTTCTTCTTCAGTAGTGACTTGGGCAACTGTTTCATCTTTTTGAAATTTGCTTTTGCAAATCACAGCTTCATGACCAAGTTGTTTGCAATTCTTGCACTGTGCATCTGGTCTTTTCCAACATTTATATGGAGGATGTCCATTTTTTCCATAGTGCTAACAAGGTGGGTAATTTTTCAAAAATTTACCCTTGCTTGAGTTTTGTGGCTGGCTACTAATGCTCCTTCAACCATGCCATCTTGCCTCATAAGTCTCCTTTGTTCCTGAGCCTGCAAAGAATTCAACAATTCTGCCAAGGTAATTTTGGACAGATCTTGTGTGACTTTGAGAATTGGTTCTATGATCAAGTGAATAGTGATCTCTATAAAGAACCATGTGACCCTCTTTTACTCCAACCTCTATAAAACTGACCGCTCCCCCTCCTATCTTACCAAAAGATACTTTAGATAAAAGCTCAATTATCTAATTGTTGTCATTACAAACTCTCTAGACGACACTCTGAAGGAACCTGAAATCCTCAAAAGGGCTAGAAAAAATGAATATCCAAGTTAGATAGAATTCATCAAAGCAAAATTCCAAGTTAAAGAACATATTTATGTATTATGTCAAAGTTAAATCATCTTTTAAGTTTTTGAAGGCGGCTGCTAATAATAATTGATACTTATTATAGATGAAATTTGAAGTTACTGATATATTATTCTCACTCCTACATATTGAAATAGGTAGCACGTTACAAAATCTTTTGAATATTAAAACTGATTTTATTTTCATTTTCATTTTCATTTTTTGTGTAAATGATATATTTCAAATTTGTCTTAAAAAAGTCATTAGAATATAATGATTTCTTAACATTGATGAACTATTAGGTAAAGAATTTCGGATTATGCTAAATCCTAAATCGCACCCGCATTATAATCGCACATAATATAAATTATTCTATTTTGATCCGCTTTGAATACACTCATATTCAAATCTGTCCATTCCACTCCATTATCATCCCTAAAAATGTGAAAATGTTATGTAAGACGGGGCAGAACCAGGAGCGGACTAAAATCTTTGCGTAATTATGCAGTTACCCCAGTTTGTCATCATTATCATCTAGGATATTGTAAAAAGGTGTAAAAAAACAATACCTTATTTTTTCTGAAAAATCATATATGTAGTGGAGTATATAATTACGAAAAATGCGTCCTCCATTACGTGGTGCTACCTTGTCCAATATAAATGTTCATACGAAAGTTGACAGCTTTTTTTAATAGTGGTCATTAGTCAGGATCAAGCAGGTTAGTCATTCTAGCTGTCTCTCATAGTGATCACCGAAAAGATTGTAATGTGTCGTATGTAATATGTTTGATTTGATAAAAAAAGTTTAATAAAGAAAAATAATATGTTTGAGGTTTATATTATATTTTAAGTATTGATGGATTTACAATTTTAAGTTGGTGGATTTTCAGTAAATCATATATATATTTATATTATATTACTAAAAGTGGAAAGGTTTTAGGTTCAAAGTTGAATTACGAAAATACCCTTCACTAATTTTTTTTAATTAAAATTCTTTTATTTACTTTTAAAGTTAAATCAATAATGACAATTAAACTAGACCAAATACTTGGTTAGATGTTACAACTTGTCTTTTTCACTTCTTAAGAACTTTAATTGTTTAACTTTTTAGCTTCTACAATTAAACACATCCAATCACAACCTTTCATGTACACAATTTCTCTCTTTATAAATTGAATATGAAATGTTAGTCCATTACACTTTGTGTTTCATCATCTTAATATAGTTCTTATGTAATTTTTTATTCATCGGTCATTTTTTTCTTAATTGATATATTATTTTGTTTAACTTCTTTCATTTTGTATAGAAACATACTGTTAGATATTTGGCAATCATATAATTAAAGTAGGAAGTCTTCTTTTTTTACCGGTAAATATAGCCGTATAGGGTATCCCAAATAATTAAAAGGGAAGCTTTTATCCATACAATCAGAAATTCGTCTGATTTTATTGATCCTGTCAACCTTAGTCTTAGGGTTGTAATAAAGTAATTCTTATATTAGCATTAAATTTTAACCAAAAGCAACATTTTTACCCATTCAATTTTGTGTAATGCTTCAGTTATTCTAAAATTATTTGTATCATTTGAAAATGTTTTGTATTAAATAACATGAGATACACGTGCAATGCACGTGTTCGAGAACTAGTACTATGCAACAATAATCGGACAAAAAATGAGTACTGAAATTCTTTATATATTTAAAAAGGAGCTAACCACTAAAACACAATATATTAAAGGCATAATACATAAATGTGTCTTTTAACTTAGTCTCAGTTTATATTTATGTCCTTCTACTTGGGATGTGCATAAGTAGACACTTGTATAAAGTTGAACAAGTAGACACATGAATCCTATGTGACATAATACATGTAGGACACCACGTAGGACATAAATTGTCATGTAGGATGCCATATAGGACGTGTGTGTCTATTTGTTCAACTTTATGCAAGTTTAAGTGTTTAATTGTGCATACTTGAAATTTGTGGACATAAATGTGAAATGAGACCAAGTTAAAAATGCATATTTATGTATTATGCCTATATTAAAACAAACATTATCATAGTAATTGTTCTCGACCACTTGTCATGTTTTATTGGTTCGACAAAACTAAACTAGTAGTTTTGATCTAAAATTTATATTTGTCATTAAAATTTGCTTAATATGTTTAAACTAGTACACGCTCCATGTCATTTTTTACTTGACCCTTATAATAAAGATGAAGTTTTCTTTTTTTCCTTGTCCATTTTATCAAAACACTAGCCAAGTAAATTGAAACTGAAACAGTAATTCAGCTCCCAATATTATGGTTGATTAAAGCATATGTTTGATTTAAGCAAAGAAGAAGGATATTCTGTAGGTAATTATACTTCAATTTCTTGTTCCAACCACAGAAACTTAGGTATAAACGTCATTTAGTTAACAACGTAAACTCTCTTCATATATAATCAATTAAGTAACACACACCAAAATAATTCCACCAAAAAACACAGCTTAATTAAATTGCAGTAAAATCAAATTAAACATGGCTTCGGATAATCTTACAGTACTCAATGCACTTGACACAGCACGCACCCAATGGTACCATGTCACAGCTGTTGTCATTGCCGGAATGGGATTTTTCACCGATGCATACGATCTCTTCTGCATCACGACTGTCTCCAAACTTTTAGGCCGTTTGTACTACTACGACCCGGCTACCCATGCCCCGGGCAAATTGCCTCATAGTGTTAACAATTGGGTGACCGGAGTTGCCTTGGTTGGTACTCTGACTGGCCAACTTGTGTTTGGATGGCTCGGGGATAAACTTGGTCGAAAGAAAGTTTATGGACTTACACTGATTCTCATGGTCATTTGTGCACTTTGCTCGGGGTTATCCTTTGGGTATAGTCGAAAAGTTGTAATAGGAACACTCTGTTTCTTCAGGTTCTGGCTTGGATTTGGAATTGGAGGAGATTATCCTCTTTCTGCTACGATCATGTCTGAGTACGCGAATAAGAGAACACGTGGAGCGTTTATTGCTGCTGTTTTCGCTATGCAAGGAGTTGGGATCATATTTGCTGGGCTTGTTTCAATGATTGTATCTAAAGTTTTCCTTATGAATTTTGGGGGTAAAGCGTTTACTACTGATGAAGTTTTCTCCACGGAGCCTGAGGCGGATTATGTTTGGCGGATCGTGTTGATGCTTGGAGCTCTTCCGGCTCTTGTTACCTATTATTGGCGAATGAAGATGCCTGAAACAGGGCGTTACACTGCCATTATTGAAGGAAATGCTAAACAGGCGGCGATTGATATGGGGAAGGTTCTTGATATTGAAATTCAAGCGGACGGAGAAAAATTGGCTAAATTTAAAGCAGCTAATGAGTACTCTTTACTCTCCAATGAGTTCTTCATGCGCCATGGACATCACTTACTTGGTACAATGACTACTTGGTTCTTGTTGGACATTGCTTTCTACAGCCAAAATCTCACACAGAAGGACATATTTCCGACCATGGGACTCGTTAGCAACGCAAAGAACATTTCTGCTTTGAGGGAAATGTTTGAGACATCGCGAGCTATGTTTGTGATTGCCTTGCTAGGTACATTCCCTGGTTACTGGTTCACAGTATTCTTCATCGAGAAAATCGGGAGGTTTAAGATACAATTGATGGGGTTCTTCATGATGTCTATTTTCATGGCGATTATTGGAATCAAATACGATTACCTAAAGACTAAAGAACATAAATGGACATTTGCAGCTCTTTATGGTTTAACTTTCTTCTTTGCCAACTTTGGCCCCAATTCAACCACATTCGTGCTCCCTGCGGAGCTATTCCCTACAAGGGTGAGATCCACTTGCCATGCCCTGAGTGCCGCGTCTGGAAAGGCAGGGGCAATGGTTAGTGCATTTGGGGTGCAGCAATACACGCAAGACGGAAATACTCATAAAATCAAGAAAGCCATGTTGTTTTTGGCATTCACAAATATGCTTGGATTTTGCTGTACCTTCTTAGTGACGGAGACAAAAGGCAGGTCTCTAGAGGAAATTTCAGGGGAGGATGAGAAGCAGAATGAGACGCAGATGAAGAGTAATAGGACTGACTCTGGGCGCCAGGACGATGGATGGGATTGAAATCAGGATATATAATATTGGCAAGTTTATCACATTGAGCAGTACTATACATAGATGCATATATAGGAAAAGTATTGTTAATAAGTGAGATGTCACCTCCAGAATAAGGGCTTCACGAAGCAAAGGAAATTCGTATAGTAGTTTCCCTTCACCAATTCGCGTAGTAGTTGGTAGGGGATTGATTTTGTATTGTCTTATCTCCTGTTCTACTCCTTCCAAAAGTGTTCTATTTCCTTTTGCCTTTGGATATATAGGTTAGTATGTATTTACATTTTGTGAAAAGATGGTTGGTTATTGGTAGATCTTGTTGGTCTGTTGTTCGAGAATAACTTGACCTATAAAAAAGACTTGCATGTCTTATGCATGAATGAATTTACCTCCTATCGACTTAAAAATTCTAAAAGACTAATTTGATTTGGTAGTCATGGGACTAAAAAACATAGATAACAATATTTAGAAGTGGTTAATTCCAAGTTCCTGGTAAAGAATTACACAGGCTAATCAAATCGCGAAGAAGAAAACTGCAGCAATAAAGAAGAGAAGGAAAAAGAATGAAGTGATAGAGAGAGAATAAGGAGGATTTTCTCAATGCTCCTTCGGAAACACGTACATCTAGCATAAGCAAAATACAGCTTGATTTCTGACAATTTTGATATCAACACTTTGTATGCTTCTAACTTACGTAAGTTGAAAAAAAAGGCATAAGACCAATCCTTATCTAAGTAAAGATTGGGGAATGGACAAAAGCCCGATCCAGCAATATCGTGTGAGTGAAGAAGGGCTAGGGCATGATAAAGTTGAAATATGTACTCAAAAAATAATGGTTCTAAACTTAAAAACAAATTGGAGCTTCATGAAATTCAATCACCAACCTGAAACTCCATTTCTCATGTCCTGTTTTTATCTACTTTATCATGTCCTGAGTTTTTTGTTTCAAACTTTTGCCATCAATTGTCTATTCTTAAGCATCTTGTGTATTGATTTTTTTCTAAGTACAAACGGTCATATCGTTATTTTTTGAGAAGCATCTTTTATAAGAAGAATATATTCCAAAAGCTTAAGCCAAAGCAAATAGCTTGGAATATACATCATTCATACCTACAAGAACAAAGTTGCAATTTCTATGCTGAAAATCGGAATTACCATTAATTGTTCCCACTTTTGTTTGGATTAACAAATTCATTTGATTGATACCAATATCGATCAATGAATGGTTTAATGATGGTGTTCCAGATTTCTTTCCCAAGTATTAATAGAAAGGAATTTAAAAAAAATTATGTCCTTTTTATAAGGGATTTTTATTTTTACACATAAGAGACTTCCATTTTACACGAGATCTGAAAAAGACTATTTTCTTCTATTCAAATTGTAAGAGAGCAAGAGATCTCATTTCCGCCTCTTTTACATTGTCAACATTCTATACTGACTTATTATGTTGACAACTTTGCCTAAAAGTGGTTGTTTAACAACTATTGGCCCATCCTGTATCTCAAAGTGATTGCCAAAGATGCATAATCTATTGTAAAGCATAAGCATCACAATCACATTGTTGTTTCAATTTCTTGTGACAGCGTTGAGTTGGAGGCATATTATTGATTTAAGCAAAGAAAGAAGAAGGATATTCTCCAATAGTTATCAGGGAATTTCTTGTTCTAGATACAGAAACTAGGCGTAAACATCAATTAATTAATCACATAACTGTCAATATATATATATACATTGAGCAATTTAGAGATGATCAGACATCAACCAATCTAAGAGAAAATAAAATAACATGGCCTCAGACAATCTTGTAGTGCTCAATGCACTTGACACAGCGCGTACCCAATGGTACCATGTCACCGCTGTTATCATTGCTGGAATGGGATTTTTCACTGATGCATATGATCTGTTCTGTATCACTACTATCTCGAAACTTTTAGGCCGTTTGTACTACTACGACCCAACTACCCATGCCCCTGGCAAATTGCCTCATGTCGTGAACAATTGGGTGATTGGAGTTGCTCTAGTTGGTACTCTATCAGGCCAGCTTGTTTTTGGTTGGCTCGGAGATAAACTTGGTCGAAAGAAAGTCTATGGACTTACATTAATTCTCATGGTCCTTTGTGCAATTTGCTCGGGGTTGTCCTTTGGGTATAGCGCGAAAGGCGTAATAGGGACACTCTGTTTCTTCAGATTCTGGCTTGGATTTGGAATTGGAGGTGATTATCCTCTTTCTGCTACGATCATGTCTGAGTATGCTAACAAGGCAACTCGTGGGGCGTTCATTGCTGCTGTTTTCGCGATGCAAGGAGTTGGGATCATTTTTGCTGGGCTCGTTTCGATGATTATTTCAAAATTGTTCTTGATGAAGTATGGAGGGAAGCCATTTGATGTGGATGAAATTTTGTCCACGGAGCCCGAGGCTGATTATGTTTGGCGGATCGTGTTGATGCTTGGAGCTCTTCCGGCTCTTCTTACCTATTATTGGCGAATGAAGATGCCTGAAACAGGGCGTTACACTGCCATTATTGAAGGAAATGCTAAACAAGCCGCGATTAACATGGGAAAGGTACTTGATATTGAAATTCAAGCAGAAGGTGATAAATTGGCTCAATTTAAAGCAGCTAATGAGTATTCTTTACTCTCCAATGAGTTCTTCCAACGCCACGGGCTTCATTTGATTGGTACAATGAGTACTTGGTTCTTGTTAGACATAGCTTTCTACAGCCAAAACCTTACACAAAAGGACATATTTCCAGTCATGGGACTCACTAGGAAAGCTAACACGATATCCGCCTTGAGGGAGATGTTTGAAACATCGCGTGCCATGTTTGTGATTGCCTTGTTTGGTACTTTCCCTGGTTACTGGTTCACAGTATTCTTCATTGAAAAAATCGGAAGGTTTAGAATACAATTGATGGGGTTCTTCATGATGTCTGTTTTCATGGCGATCATTGGACTCAAATACGATTACCTAAAGACTAAAGAGCACAAATGGACATTCGCAGCTCTCTATGGTTTAACTTTCTTCTTTGCCAATTTTGGCCCCAATTCAACCACATTTGTGCTCCCCGCGGAGCTGTTCCCTACAAGGGTGAGATCCACTTGCCACGCGTTGAGCGCAGCTTCTGGAAAGGCGGGGGCAATGATCAGTGCATTTGGGATACAACAATACACGCAAGATGGGAATGTTCATAAAATCAAGACAGCTATGATACTGATGGCCGTTACAAATATGGTTGGATTTTGCTGCACGTTCTTGGTGACCGAGACAAAAGGGAGATCACTCGAAGAGATTTCAGGGGAGGATGGCGGGAAGAATGAGACACAAATGAAGACTAGCAAACCTGTCTCTGGCCACCAGGACGACGGATGGGAATAACAACATGATATTATATTGACAAGTTTAATATCACTTTGAACAATACGTAATTTCAAATGTAGGAAATCATTCAATAAAGGGGCTAATATCACTACGCGTTGTGCTTTCTATTTTCAATCACCTCTATGAATAAGAGCCTTAACATGATGAATGACCTCGGTACAACAGGTTAAATTACACTGATAGTAGCGTATATAAGTTGAATTTTGGAGTTTTATTGAGCTAGACCATCAGTATACTAGCTAGTACTTGGCCAGGATACTTTTGCATTTTGTTTCTCCTTTATGTACAAGTGTTGAATATGTTAATTATGTTTTCATTTTCTAGTGAAGAAATGAATGCCTTTTATTTTGTTTGCTCAAGGATTGTCACGATCCAAAATTACCTAAGTCATGAGGAGATGACCCAAAATTGTATTTTATTTGTTTCAATTTGTGTTGATCGACTCTCATCACCATTCATAAAGCCCATATAGGCATAAACTTTTTTATCCATTCATTTTACAATCTTAATTCAAACAAGGATGACTCCATGGTCAATTAAGAAAATCTGATCCCAACTTATAATTACTATGGTTATATATATTTGTCGAAATATTGTTTTTGTTTGTCCATTTGTAAGCAATAGATGATATATATGAACATTCAAAAGGGGATAGTGGCAGCAACCCAATCAAGTCAATGAATATTAGTCTTCATTGTCAAACCATATATAGGAGATATAAGTTTGACCTTATCATGTCTTAATTGATACTAAATTTGGTGAAACTTGACTTTCTGCTGCTTGAAAAGTGTTTTTGCCTAACTTAATTTGGTACATCATAACATCAGCTTCTTGTCAATTTCTGATAATTCAATTCGAGATTTTTACAAATTAAGCTTAAGTTCAAGAAAATTAGATTTTCAGTTTTACTTATGTCTTTGTCCTAGAAATGCTATCCATTATACTATTAGGGATGCTACTTAGCCGATAAATAAAGATTCATCTCACATATAATATGTTTCAGTTACATAACATAAAGAATTCAAATAACTGTATCAAGTATAGTATTAGAAATTATCACTTGTGAAACCTCAATTTCCGTGGATTTATTAGCTAATACAATACACCCATTTCTTTTCGTGAATTTTCATAACTCGTTTATGCAAAATTGGGATATACACTTAAAATAATAAGTGATACAGAATTAGATAGAGTAATATGTTTCTTTAGCCAAGGAAAAACATTTATAATAGCATAGTCCAATAATTGTTTGCGAAAATTTCTAGAATAAATTGAGTAGGTTGCTAGTATAGTTCCTTAGCTACAATTTTTCTATTTGTTGGTATAATATAGAATGAATCTTTTCAATAATTAAAAAAAAATAAAAAAATATAATTCTCAATACTTGCTCATGTACAACTACAAAATACCAAACATTCTAACGAGGAATAATACAATGCCACAAGTTGTTATGCAATACCATTAGATTAATCAACCAGGGTGAATATTGTTGCTGCTTTTCTTTAAAAGAGCAACCGCCAGCCGTCTTATACCACACCACTTTGGCTTAAAAGTTGTGGGGGACCTAGAGTTATGCCAACCCCTTATACAATGAATTAAAAAAAAGTTAGCAAAACCAATGAGGCTTGTAACTTTTAATTATACCTCTCAATTTTGTCATTTAGAGTCAATATACCCCTCGTTATAAAAATGGTTCATATATGTCGCTGCCGTTACAAAATTGGCACACATATACCCCTCACCATTACAAAAGTGGCTCACGTATACCCCTACCGTTACAAAAGTGATAAATTAATTTTAAGTTAATTTTTTTTATTTTTAATATGTAAAAAAATTAAGTATTTGATTTTTTCATACATAAATTATTATTTGACTTCTTTGATTATAATTATTTGAGTTTCTTATTCTTATTTCAATTTTTCTTTCATTCTTTAGTGTAAAATAAGAGTAATAAAAAGAAAGAAGTGTGAATGAAAAAAAAAAAACTACATTGTAATTAATTTAGTAGTATATCTATAAAAAAAATTAGGATATCTATAGTAAAGATTATAAAAAAAATAAGTGAAAAGAATAAATTTGACCATCAAAATAATAAATTCAAATTAGCCGTTGAACTAAAAAAGTAAAAAGAAAAGTGTGAGAAAGATAAAATATATCCCTATATGGATTATTTTTTAAATAAAATAATTAATAAAAATAAATTTACAATTATTTTTTTCACTTCCGTTAGAGGAAAAAGGTATATGTGAGTCATTTATGTAACAATATGGTATTTATGAACCACTTTCAGAACGAGAGGTATATCCGCTCTAAATGACAAAGTTGAGAGGTATATCAGACCCTTTTCCCTTAAACCACAGATGCAGAGGCGTATTCAGGATTTCATAAGGATGGGTGCATTATTATGAAAAGATGCATCTAAGATATAAATTTGATCGGTTTAACTTTTACGTTCTTAACACTGAACCGTTAACTTTAAAAATTATAGGTCCAACATATATAATACTACTAGTTTTAAATTTTAATATACACATTTGATTTAAGTATATAAAAATTATACCGTGCTAATTTTTTTTAGGAATTTTCAATGTTACACATTTGAAAATTTTGAAAGATTAAAGCAAAAAAATAAAAGAAAAACTGATTGAAACGCCAAAAGTGCTACCGATAACCACTTGGAGGGGTGTTAGTAACAAAAATAAGATAGATATAAGATTTAAATTTATATATGTGCTTAAAGAGGTGCATTCAATCTTCATTGTATTATTATATGTTACTTTTAACGTGGGTTCACACCTCTATATTTAAATATTTTTAAAAAAATATAACACTACTATATATAATCTAGAGAGGGGAGCATGGGTTCACGTGAACCCACGGAACCCCCTCTAGATACGCCTCTGCACAAATGTATTAGGTATATATTGTAGGGACGAATTCAAGATTTTTAGTATGTAAATTCTGAATCATATATATATAAAAACATAAGATCGATTTGAGCCATAGTTACCAAAATCTATTGAACTCGTAAGTACCTTGACACATGGGGTTGAACCATGCACATTTATGTGTGGTCATATTTTCTTATGTTGTTGTATGAATTCAAATTAGTCAGACAAGTTCGAATAGTGTGTGAATAAAAAAGTGTTCATAAGTAAGCTATTTATAGTTTCTTTTTCGTTCAGTGTTATCTGCAAGAAATGGAGTCAGATTGTGTCACACGTACGTACATCATAGTTGAGAAATTAGATGAAGCTCTTTCTTTTATAAAAGTTATGTAAAGCCTGTAGGTTGAGCATCAGTCTTCACTCATGCTATTTTAATGTAACTTGGTCATCTTCACATCACTAGTGGTCATCTTCCTATGGAAGAAGTTAAGTAATCAACTTGGCCGGAAAATGTGTGCCAATTTATTTGAGCTAATTTATTACTAGTAAGAGTTAAGTTTTATATTACTTTATACATAGCGATGGTGTAAAAGAATTTGGGATTTTTTTATAGAATGTCCGTCAAAATAATAGTCAACAAATGTATATTTTTTGTATATTACTCCCTTAGGTTGTCTTTACTTGTCAAGTTTTGCTTCTAGAGAGTCAAATTGAATCGATTTTGACCAACAAGTATTTTTTCATCATATTAATATAAATAGAATTGCAACTTAATTATAATATTTTTTGTATAGTTTTTAAACATCTAAATTTAAAATTTAAAATTAATGTACTTCATTTAGCTTTTCAAAGATTAGTCAAATTAACTTTCGTGAAATGAAACGTAAATGAATATATTATAGGATGTATAACTTATACATAACAAATCATGATCTTAATAATACATGAGCTATTAATAGATAGATAAAACATAACTACTCTTATTATATCAAACCAAACACCAAATAAAAAATAATTTCAATATAACTACTCTCAACGTTACTAATTCTAAACGTTCTATTAATTAACACTGTTTTTATATACTTAACGTCTCTAACAAGGGACCCTAATATTTGATAGACAATGACACAAAAGAGAGAATTTAATACTAGGTGTATGGACCAGAGAGATACGTGTCCTAGGAAAGTGAATTATGAAAGAAGCCAAAGAGGTTGTAGGTGTAAGTATATGTTTCACTAGCCTTACTATTTTAATTTGTAATATCCCTTAAAATTACCAAAACTAGTCAGTAGTCAGTACGTACACACAGATTACTTATTATTACTCCCAACTTGCATATATACATACACTTTAAAGCTTTGACTTACCCGTGAATACAAAATCGTATTCGTATCATGTAGTCTACTCATCTAAGAACAAACTACATTTTCATCTCACGTGACACCACATATAATTAACTAATGCAAACCCTAATTAAGCATGAGTTTAACTGTTTAACTACTATCTATGTGCTAGCTATTAATTATATAAAAAGTATATTTGTCACCTATATCAACGACAGAGTCAAAATTTTCACTAAGAAGATTCAAATTAGAAAAAGTAGATATACGAACTAGTCGAAGAGGATTACACATCTACAATATATACATAAAAAATTATTTTAACCATATATAAATAGTATGATAATTTCTGCCATAGGAAATTCTGAAACCGCAAGGTGGCTCCTCCCTGACCTATACAGATACATAAGAAGTCCAATATTAATTTCGAAAATACTAAAAAACAACCGTAATAAAAAAAACAAGATAAATACTGCACTAACAATTTATTTAGTGCTCCCTCCGTTTCTTTTTAGTTGTCATTATAAGGCTTGATGTAATTCTTAAGAAAAAAAATTAAGCATAAGGAGTATTGTTTGATCTATATATCCCTCATTAAATAATTATCTCTTGATTTTTTAAATCAACAACTATTTTGAAATAAGTATTTTTTACATAACAACTAAAAAGGAACAAAGAGAATATTTACTCCATATTAATAATATTAACGTTACTAATTAATTCCGGCATAACTTACTTTTAAACCAAACAATCTAGTCGTGTATATACTTTATTTCATATTAAGTGAAGTTTTAAGGAATATATCACACCTTTTAAAATAATTATTTAAAAATTACTTTTCATTATTAACTTTTAAT